GTGATGCATACCTGTGGTCCCAACTAGCTGAGAGGCCAGGACAGAGGGATCCTTACACGGTGAGACCCTGTTAAAAAATCAATAAAACTTGGGGTCAGCAGGTGGCATGGTGGTTAAGGTGCTGGACTTCCACATGGCCAACTATGGTTGAGTCCCAGACCTGGTAGCTTAAAAATCACACTGAGGATGTATACATGCATGTTCAAAATCCCAGGGAGAGCATGGAGGAGGAGGGATGCAGCATGGCTGTTCCCCTTGACCCTATGAAAGTGAGAGGGTAATTTCTCACTTTGCTCTCACTGTCTCTCTCTCTCTGGTGAGCACATGCACTCTCTGGCAAAAACCTAAAACAATTCATCTCTCTCTCTCATAAACCTTTTAAAAGGACCTTTTGTTCTTTTAAAAATTGTTTGAAATAATCATATGCTCAAAGAGAGCACCTGTACCCTTTACTCAGTTTTCCCAAATGGTAACATCTTGCAAAATGGTAGTTCTGTATCATAGCCATTGATACATTGATACAGGACATTGATATTGACATTGATAACATCAAGATACAGGACATTTTCATCAGCATGTAGATCCCTCATGTGGTCTGTCTGTACACACCTGCTTCCCTCTCCTCCCCTCTTATAATTCTTTGAAATAATTCATCTGATCTCCATTTCTATAATTATGTCACTTTAAGAGTGCTATACATTTTATAAATGGAGCCACCATATATTCAACCTTTTGGAAGTGGCTTTTTGTTTTTTTTCAAGTAGCATAATTCTCTGGAGGCATCCATGTGGTTGTGTGTGCCAGTAGTTCCTTTTTATTACAGAGAGTAGTTTGTGGTATTAACAAAGCACAGTTGGTTGTCCTGTACAAATTGTATGCCATCTGGTTTTCAGTTTTTGGTTGTGACAAGCAAAACTGCCATAAACATTAATGGACAAGTCTTTGTGTAAATATAAGTTTTCATTTCTCTGGAATAAATGCCAGGTGTGAAGTTGCTGAGCAATAGGATAGTTATGTGTATAGTTGTTTAAGAAACTGCCCAACTGTTTTTCCAGAATGGCTATATCATTTTATATCCCCACTAGTATTATATAAATGTCAAGTTTCCTCATGTCCCTGTGAGCATTTAGTATCACTGTGTTTTACCCATTCTGATGGGGAATATGGTGATACCTCATTGTGCTTTTAATTTGCATTTTCCTAGTGGCTATGATATTGAACTTTAAAAAAATGTTTATTTCTTCCATGAGAGAGAATAGTAGAGACAGATATACAGACAGATAGCATCTCCACATGGTCCCAGCACCGCGATCCACCTGCCCAGGGCACACCTGCCCAGCATACTCAGGGAGGTCTCTAGATGTGAACCTGGAACTTCCTTATGTAGGTCAGCCTGGCAGAACTCTGCATTTTACTTCTGCCTCACTGTCCAGTGCCAATAGTGACCATTTTATTATGTGTTCATTTGCCATCTTTGTATCTTCTTTTCTAATTGTATGGTTTGTATTTTTACTGCTGGCTTGAAAGTTCTTTTATGTATTTTAGATGCCAGTTCTTTGTCAGGATCGTTCAGGTCTACATTTTGCCCCGATTGAAGATAGGTCACCACTGAACTATGAACTTCCACATTCAAGGTAGTCTCACTTCTTAGCTCCCATTTTATTGGCCATCTGTAATATCTGACGGTCACCTTCTTGAATCTTATCCCAAGCCCCCCAGGTTTCCACTGATAGTATAGTGTCCTTACAGTACTGTACCATTCTGACCTCTGCACTTTAACCCCATTTACCAAGCCTGTTTCCACAGGCAACCATGAAGTACTGCCATTTGCTGGGATTTAGCCCCCATCTGCTGGTCTGTCTTTCAATCATCAGCCTTTGCTGCTTGAGTAGATCCTGATCCATGGCTCTAACCACCATCTCTGTACTGCTGGTGACTCCAGATATGTATTTCTATACCAAAGCTCTTTTCTTGTACATTAGATTTTTATTTCTTACTGGATGTACATGGTTAGGTTTTCTAACTTATACTCAACAGTTAAGATATGAACTTACTATCTCCTCACAATCCAAATGTGTTTTTATCCCTGTACTTCGTACATCAATTTACCCAATTGCTAAAACCAGGAAAATGAGAGTCGCGTTCTATTTATTTTCTTCACTGCCTCATCCTGTTAGCCTCTCTTAGGAAATATTTCTTGTATTTGTTTCCTCTTTTTTAGTTCTTCTGCCATCCTTAGTTTGTGGCCATATCATTTCTTTCTTGAATTTCTGTCAGAACCTTCCTGTAGCCTGTCCTCCAGACTCCAGTCAGGGTAACATTTGTCACGTTCAACTCTCATCAGGTGGCTTCCCACCTTAAATCTTCCAGCGATTCTCCACGTCCTACCTCAGTGCCTGCCACATTCTTCCCCTGAAGAAGCCCTTAACAGCAGTGGAGACTAACTTATACCCTGTGTGAAAGTCTCAAGAGGAGCTTACAGTGACTTGCTACAAGTACAGCATGTCTTTGAAGTCTCTATTTTCTAGCTTTAAATTTTTAATTCGTATTTTATTCACTTACATCTCTGCTTGCATTACTATTTTTAAAAATGGCTATCCCTCAAATTTCAAGTATTAGTTATGTTTCAGAAGATGCCCATGTGATGTGTATTCTTCATATTCCTTTAGGCATACTATCACACATAACTAGTTTTGAAAATCATAAGCTTCAGGTTAAAGCAGAAAGCATTTTGCACTAAATTTTCGCAAACCAGTCTCCATTTTCTTCCCAATACGATCATGTGCACTGTGCCCTCCTCTTATCGTTTATCAGACAGACCAGATTCTTGCTGCTATTGCGTATGTTATCCTTTCTTTTTAAATGCTTTTCTCTTGCCCTGCTTGGAGAACCCTGACGCAGTCTTTGAGACAGAGTTAATGTAAAGCAGTAAAAATAGTTACCAATGATGAGACAGTGTAGAATGGGGCGGGAGAAGAGTATAGAGAAGGATAGCAAGAGAACAAATAGAGAGGCATGACATTAGTAGGACACAGATGTGGTCTATTACCTGTTGATGGTGACATGTATAGTATTCTCAACTGGATTGGTCTGAGAAGTATTTCATGTTGGGTAAAGTCCTTTTACAAGCAAATGATAAATGGTGATTGATTTTTTAAAGAAATAGTTGGAATAATAATAATAATTGGGCAAGGGACCAGCAGTTAGCGTAATGGCTATGTCACTTGATTCCCATGTAGTCAACCGTGGTTCGTGTCCCAGACCTGGTGGCTTAAAACTCACCGTGCTCATGTGTGTGCGTGCCCAAGATCCCGAGAGGAGAACGGAGGAGAAGGGATTGCAGCATGGCCATCACCCCTAGGGGGTGTTTTCTTGCTTTCTGTCTCGCTGTCGCTCTCTCTGTCTGTCTGGCGAGCGCATGCGCCCTATAGCAAAAACCTCGCCAAAAAAATAAAAAATAATCGGAAAAAATGAAAAGCTATTGGATGATGAAATGGGGATATTAATGTCTCTGTATTGACTGATATGCATGGTATTCCTTCTGGAAAAAGAAATGTAATACACACTGTACAGTTACATGTGATTCAATGTGACAGCTCCTTTGTATTAGCATTGCCAATTGCCCTCTCCTAGGGAATGCAGTGCTTCAACCACCGTGCTTTCATCAGTGCTAATACTTCTGGTATCTCACTTAATTTCCTGGCGTAATACCTTTCCCTGTAGCCTATGTAGTTACAAGGTCAGAGTCATCTTTTATTTTCCCTTAGAATAGTACCTGCCATTTAATCAGTGTTTGTGGATTATATGAAATAATCAAATGCAAATCAAAGTGATCTCCCAATCTTTGAGAGCATTTCCCAGCCAGTGCTTAACTTCTTTCAGGGTATTGTAGAAGAATTCTTACTTGGGTGGGAAATTGCTTTCTACATATGCGTTATGGTACCATTCAACTCTAAAATGTTATTGTTCTAATAGTAAATGAGAAGAGTTAAAAACATCTCCTCTCCATTAGCACTTTATTTACAAACTGAAGTGTATAAAAAATACCTTGGTCCATTTAAACATTTGAAAACTTTCCTATCTTCGTCACAACTAAATGAACTTTTAAGTTTATGATCGTATATAGATCATCTGTAATATTTAAACTCATGACAACTTATAATAGTCTATTAATAACTTAATTGGCATAGACAAATGACTAAATTTTAAAAATAATATACTGTGACTTCTATATTTTTATTAGAAGCTTTATTTTCTTATTTTACTTTTATTGTGAAAGTATTGAAAACATTTTTGAAATTTAGTAAACTTTTTTCCTTGCATTGTAGCTTCTTTACGCTCAGAATTAAACCACCAACATGCAGCTGCAATTGATTTGTTACGGCACAGTCACCACCAGGAAATGGCAGCTGCTAAAATGGAACTAGAGAGAAGCATAGACATCAGCAGAAGACAGGTAAGTGAGAATATTCTATCCTGTGTTGATTTCTTAAATGTGGGTATATTGAATGTCCACAATTTTCTGAAAATTATTTTGCAATAACTATTGTTTTCACTAATTATTTATTATCTTAATTGAAGAGTTTTATTTTTAAAGAGAAATATGTAGTTTGACTTTCGGCTATAGATTATAAAGTTACATTTTACTTTATGACCTTTTAATTTAATATAGTATGCAGGCAGCACTATCCAATAGGGCTATCCATGACAAGGGACCATTCTACGTCTGTGCTCTCCACTGTGATAGTCAGTAGTCATTTGGGCCAAATATGTCTAGTGGAACTGAAGGGCTGCACTTTTTATTTTATTTTATTTAAACTTAAACAGCCTTATTCTTAGACCTACCTCAACAACCATGCTTTTGTACATGTTATCCTTCTCTCGCTGTGCCAGGGTTAGGGTTACAGTGCTATAGAAAAACCAGGCCCTCAAGGAGGAAAAAGTCAGTTTACATTTTCATGTCTTTATAACACAGCTATTGTTTATACTTTTTAAACTTTACTCTTTGGCCAAATGTACTTCTATTTAGTTAGGTAGTTTGTGATCTTAAATGTGGATATGTCTAGATAAATGGATCTTTCAGGCATTGTGCCATGAAAGCTGGTAGACTCATGACTCTTATTTTGTCAGTCTTCACCTGTTAAATGATCAGCCCCAATTTTTCTTCAGTGTTCTCTTGAACGAGCCACCTTGTAAACATGGAGGGACATTACAATCTCTCCAGCTAGGCTATGCTTAAGTTAACAGGTTCTAAGTCTGCAAAACTTGTAGAAAACGATGACTTAGGAAAGTGGAAGGAAACTTTTCTGTTAGATAGCCACTAGACTATGAGCAAAGTCTGCTTTCTACTTCCCTTCAGGGCATGGTTTTGGAGGTTCTGGGGATGAGAAAGAGCAGATTTCCTTTTTATTTTATATTCTCTATTTAGGTAGTATTTGAATTCTAGCAACAAGTATTTAATTGTTTTGTAGTTTTAGAAATTAAAGGAAAAACATTGCAAATAAAATTATTTCTCATACATAGTAATTCCAATATTATAAAAAAACAAACTTTCTAATTATGATGGGTTGTATGTGAATTGGGAGGCCCTCCAAAGATGCAGATCCTTATTAAAGGACAACAAAGCCAACATTTATTGCAAGGCCATTTAAAACTCATTGAGGATGTTAGAGTCCTATGTTCTAATCTCAACTCTCCTACTGATGATAAATCATCTTTGCACAAATCACCACTGGTTTCCTCATCTATAAAATGAGTGAGATGTGCTTTTATGATCTTTTAGGTCCCTTGTAGCCCTGCCATTATTGAAGCTCTATCCACATAAACCTTTCTTATATGTATGGAAAGAGAAGAGGCCTTGTGGTTTTCTCATTTCAGTAATCTGATATTTGAAGCAATGGCAAAGTGATGGTATTTGACACTCTAGGATGTCAGTTTCTTTCTTTCTTTCTTCTTTTTATTTATTTTTTTTTTAAAGATTTTGCCATGGGGCATATGTGCTCACTTTAGAGAGGCAGAGATGGTGAAAACAAAAGTGAGAAATACCCCTAGGTGGGATTGCCACACCACAGTCTTTTCCTCCATTGTCCTCCTGAGATTTTGGGCGCACACACACACACACACACACACACACACACGCACCTGGCATGTTGCTCAAGCAGCTGGGTCCAGGACTCAAACGGTGGTCAGCCATGTGGGAGTCTAGTGCCTTAACCACTATGCTACCTGCTGCCTCCCCAGTGCATTATTTTCTTTCCCTGCAATAAACAGAGAAAGCAAATACGTAGAAAACTTTTCAGAATTAATTGTATTTACAGAGTAAGGAGCACATGTGTAGAATAACAGATCTACAAGATGAATTAAGGCACAGAGAGCATCACATTTCTGACTTGGATAAAGAAGTACAACATCTTCATGAGAATATAAGTGCCCTAACTAAAGAACTGGAATTTAAGGGAAAAGAAATTCTCAGAGTACGAAGTGAATCTAACCAACAGATGAGGTATGCTGTTCGTAACAACAGGAGTATGCACTATTATCTGAAAAATTGTTGCAATGATATTTAGCAGTATGTGCCTACTTTTGTGACTAGACTGCCCTTCTAGTAAGATATCGAAGACCTTTATTTAATGACATTGTAATGTACAACATAGATTAAATGTTGATATTTCAAATGATGTATATGTATTCATTAATCTCAAAGTTATATATAATTAACTGAAATTTCTTCAAAATGTTATTTGAAAAAGCATTAAAGGAGACAACTTTAACACCAGCTAGAAGATTATGGCAAAGTAAGTAGCTTACTTTAGTGCTGTTTACATTAATTTTCTATATATTATACCAAAACCATTTCAAATCTGGTAGAATATAGAAAGTTTTGAAAGCTTGATTTCAGAATAACATTTTCTTAACTAAAAATAAAACAGGTTGCATGAACAAGATTTAAACAAGAGACTTGAAAAAGAGCTGGATGTCATGACAGCAGACCACCTCAGAGAGAAAAATATCATGCGGGCAGATTTTAATAAGACTAACGAGCTACTCAAGGAAATAAATGCAGCTTTACAAGTGTCGTAAGTCATATTATATTAAAGAAAATTCATGTGTGGATAATAAGCCGAGGAGCAGTGTCTAACCTCACATTAGCTACTATTTTGATTCTAATAAAAATGATACTTAAAAAAGAAAACGTAAGTGCTGTGTTACAGACGATAATTGCAATGTAATATGCCCGTTGAGTAGGGGAAAGCAGTTGGATGATTATGTTCATCAGCTGCTACTGCATCCATTCTACCAGCACAGTACTTACCTAAGGAATGCCCTGCAGGGCATGAAATTTTATGCCATGGTGAAAACTCAAAATATGTAAATGATCTAATGTTTTGTATGAAGAGCATATTATGAACCTGTGCACACAAGTACATACATTAATAATACATATTTTACTAAAATATAAAACTATCTTTAAAACAAACTTTTAATGATAGTACTTTCCCCTAGGGTATTGGTTTGGAGGTATCAGGGATGAAAATGAGCAGATTTCCTTTTTATTTTATATTCTCTACTTAGGTATTATTTTAATTATAGCAAGCATTAAGTTGCTTGATGGCATTTAAAATTAATAAAGGAGAAACATTACAAATAACATTACTACTCATACATAGTAACATCTACATTGTAAAAAACAAAATTTCTAATGATTGTTTAATGCTCTTTTAAAATATTTGACAGCCCCTGTTTTTCCTAGACACTTACGAATAGCCAGAGCAAGTGCAGCCTGTATTCAGTCCACCTGTTGGCCTGAACCTTGGTCCAGCCTGGTCTGAGAGTTCACCTACTTTAAGCTGCTGCTAGTGGTTTATTCACCTCTAATCTCTCCTCATCAGTTAAAAAAAGCTTCATTAAAATATATATATATACACATATTTCAGTATATCACAGTTATAACCAATCCCATTATTTTCATTGTCAAAGTCAAACTTAAACTCTTAGCTCCAGTGTGCCTTATTTTGCATCCTGCAACAACTACCCTTATGCCCATTTTCTGTCTTTGTAGCAGCTAAGATAACCTTCTCAATTTCCTTTTAAGATTTCCCTGCATTGTCCTCTCCAATCTAGAATAACCTCCTAAATTATTGCTGTTTTGTCTTTTTTAAATCTTAAAAAGATCTCATATTTCAACCATTAACTAATTTAGGGTCACAGTACATTTTGTTACATACAAAAGCATGGATTCACATGTACCCCCCCACACACACACACACTTTTAGTTAAACCAAAAAAAGAAAACAGACCCCAGGCATTGGCATTTACCTAAGTGGCCTCTGAGGTGAGGTGCTTCTCTTGATGGGCATATTCCTCTTCACACAAGTAGACGTAAGTGAGTTTTATGAGAGTTCCCTATCACATTTTCCACTTTGTGAAGTTACTCTTGAAATGGTGATATACCTTCTAGCATTTCCCCTATCACAGCAATTTGGTGTGTGCTGTTAATTAGAAGTAATTTTTAAATGCCTTTGAGCCACAATAAGAGCCTAGTATCTGGCTTGTAGAAGGGCTCATAACCATGTATTTTGCAGAATTAAGATACAATTAACTTCTGTGCTTTGGTTATCACTTCTAGCCTTACTATTTATTCACTGGGCAGAGGCTAAAATCTTGGCATCCCCCAGTTCATGCTCTAAAAACACACAAAGAATAACCTCTGTCTGTCCAAGTGTCCTGTCTCCTTAAAAATGTTAGTTTACAAAGAGTAAATGTTGTCTTTGTTTTCATTTTGTTTTCTACAGTTTCACACATTAAGAATTTTTAGTAGATAATAACTAATTTGTTTATATTATGATCTTTTTTTAATAATTGAAGACTTAATATAACTGATAAGTATATATTTTACCTGCTTTTCTAGATCCACTATTGATTTTCTTTTTTCTTTTCTTTCTTTTTTTTTTTTTTAAGAGAGATTTTTGTTGTGGGGTACATGTGCTTGCTGGAGAGACAGAGAGCAAGAAATCACTCCCAAGGGTGGATAACCACACCACAATCCCTTCTCCTCCATTCTCCTCTCAGGATCTTGGGCACACATGCACACACGCCTGGCATGAGTTTTAAGCCACCATATCTGGGACTCCTTCTGTGGTCGGCTATATGGAAGTCCAGTGACACAACCATTACGCCATCTGCTGGTTCCATGACCCACATTCATTTTTATACTTTAACTTGGGCCAATGCTAACCAATTCTATTTCTTTTTTCACCAGAAACCTGCAGCCATGATGTAGTTAGCCCTAGCTGTAAATATTCACTCTTTTCTCTAAAAGCAAACACACATACAAATTTCTTTTCAATCAGCACTGTCAAGTAGATTGTGATAATGAAAATGTTCTATATCTGCTCTATGCAATTCAGTTGCTACTTGCAGAGTTACTGAGTACTTGAACTGTGACTAACATGACTGAGGAACTGAATTTTTTATTTTATTCCATGTTAATGAATTTAAATGTAAATGGCTACATATAGACTAGTGGCTACCGTGTTGGAAAGTACAGTTTTAGACTTTGGGATATTTCTGGATCATGTCGTTAAATGCAGCTTGCTTGGAGCTGCTGAATGGCTTAGAGATAGTGATCAGAAAGAGTTCATTCCAGCTTTTGGAGCTAGGGGAATAATATTTGATTTATTCCCAGCCTGTTCCAAGGGACCAGGTACCAACTTCCAAATCAACTATACTCAGCCCTTGAAGCTTGAAAACCAGAAAAAAAAATCTGTGGATCGTTGTACACTACTGGTGGTAAAGGAACTGAAGGGCCGTAGTGCAGCCTGCCAAGCTAAGGCACGGGGCTGAGGTAGCTCCTGTCCCCCCTCCTGTCTGACTCCAGGGACGGGCTGGGGGTGAGGGTGGAATCAACACATACAGAAGGTACTTTATAATACCTTCTCAGTATTGTAAAAGTAGTGATAAGAGGTCTGTCTCTTCTTATGGAATGATTATTAGAAATCCTCTTCTCTAGTGTTGGATATTTAAGTCCTAGATTTTCAGAGTTCTATCGGAATATTTTCTCTAGTGATATAGTATCTTACTAAAAATCTTGTATCTAATAAAAATGTCCAGTAAGTTTTTGCTTATTTTAGAAATAAGTGAGAGAATGGACTGTTTGATTTCATCTATAAGTGATCTGTTCTGTA